ATGAGAATAACACGTCAATAACACGAGAATAACACGAGGATAACACAAGAATAATAAGTGGGAATAACATAAGGAATAACATGAGAATAACACGTCAATAACACGGTTACTGACCGATTAATCAGCTTACTCTGCATTACCACGTGTATTCTGACGTGTTACTACACCGTGTTACCGCCGATTAATCGGTGCTACTCCAAATTTCCTCGTGTTATTCAGACGATCAAATTTTTGCGATAATTTTTTAAACTATTATAAACAAATTCTGCTATAAATCGCTCCATATGATCCTGTCAATTCATATGTGCACTCCAGTCGATTTCTTCAGCCTGCACTAAAGTTTCTATGTACTTGCAGACGAACATGCCGCAATCAACACTATTCCTTTGTGTGGGTACATACTTTGTAATCGATAGGGACCATTTATTGATTTTGGTTGTAAATAAATCAGCGGCATCTCTAGCAAACATATTCATCTGCATGGTTGAAGCGTTATTATGTTACTTTTTGAATGCTATTGTGTTACTTTTAATTGAGTTGAATATACTTACAACTTTCGTAGCGTCAACCTTATGTATCTGGTTAGGTAGTGAGTCGTATATTCGCCATTTTCTCAACTTGAGATCCAGAACCAACAAGATTCAATGCTGATTTGGAATGATTGAAAAGAAAATTGCTTTTACATTTTTTACGGCCTCGTTGGTGATATGTTTCATGTAGGGTTTGCTACCATATGTCTTATGCATCTACATAAAAATATTACTTTAAATGTGCATGGAATATATGACTTAAACTTGTATGAATAAATATAAGTTGTTGAACATACCCCATACATTGGTGTAACATATAGGTAAGGCAGGTACAACTTTGGTCTCCTTAAAGTTCTTTCGCGCAACATGACAACAAATATATCAACATGTTCGTCTGCAAGCCACTTATTTAATAATATGTCTTCGAGTATCGATCGGTAAATCAAAATGTGGTCTCTGTTAATGATAATGTCGCTGCATTGATAAGAAAGAGAGTTTTTTTTAATTAAATACAACAAAACTGTGAAACATTAAAAGTGTGTTTGACATTTACTTACCTTCCAGTGTATCTAGATAGACACTGGTCTATTTCTTCCTGCATTTCAATTGGTATCAATGACCTATCAGGATACTCGAACGGAGGACGTAGCTGCAAAATAAAACAATCCATGGATAACACAAAATTAAAATATATAAGATATGCTTCAAAGCACTTAGCTATATTTTTTTCTTACAACTATAACATATTCGTCTGCATTAGAACTGTGGCTTCGACTCAAAATTTGTTGATACCCAGGTAGATCTAAGCTTTCTTCATCTTATTTGAATTCAGTATGTACAATTTCATCTGATACTTGGACCTCTTGGGAATCACCCATTTTTGAATCAGTATTTATAGCAGAAGTCAGAAGACGCGTCTAAAAAAATATTGTTATAAAAAATAAAGTAGGAATGTATATCATATAGTACAATTAGAATGACGTACTCACCGAATGGGCCAGAGATTCAAGAACACCCTTTATTGCTCGTTCTACTTCTTCAGGGTCTTCATGGATTGTCTAATCACCCAAATCTGCATCTTGTGCTTCTCTTATTGGTTCGTCGGCGTCTTGGGCCTGTCCGGGAACATCTGTATGTACAGGATCAGCTGAATGCACAATATTCTTTGCAGGATCTGTGTCTTGTTCATGTCTTATTGTTTCTTCGGGAACATCTATATTTACAGGAGCAACAATATCTACATCATTTTTTCTACGTCTTCTCTTGAACTGGTATTGAGATACAGGGGGGTCCACTTTCCTCTTTTGCTGATGTGCACTGTTGTTGGTCTTCTTACTTGTATCAGATATTGTTTTCTTAACAACCTTGTCAGTCTTGGTTTCAAATAATCTATGCACCAGACCTGTCAGAGTGGACAATGTTTCTACCACAGTATTCATCTGTGTACTCATACTAGTCATAGTATCTTGTATATTTAAGATTATTTGTTCCTGAGCTGAGATTTTAGCATCTCATATAGTACCCCGAAATCAGCACTCTCCGTCGAATGTCCAGGAACTGGGGTTATATCACTAGAAACAATTGTATCATTGGCATAATATTTGGGTGAAGATGGTCCTGCATTAGTTTCGTGTTGTGGAAGTTGCCTTGCAGGAATCGGTGGTCCCTGCTCTGGATTTTCGAGCAGTTGTACTTCAACGTCCCTCAAATCTAAGAATCCGTCATTAACTTACAATAAAAATGTATTCGTCAAAATCGTTACAAGCATTCCTAAAAAGCTATTAAATAGATGTGTCAATAAGCTGTAATAAAAATTAAATGATTTACATGATCAAGTCTCTTAAAGGCTTCATAAATCTTCTCAGCACTCAACCTATGATTGGTTGATCACCTCAGAATACGAGGTCTAGCGTCAGGTGCAGCAGGAGTTAAAAGAGAGGTGTGCTCATAAAACCAAAGGTGATGATGTTTTACACCATCAACATGCATGAAAAAGTTAATACAAAAAAAAAATTCAGAAGAGTAATGTTTCAATGTAAAGAACAAATAGTTACCGTTAAAAAAAATACAAATCCTTGAATATAGCCAATCGACTTATTCTGCCTTAATTTCATGGAAGCGATTCTCACTTGATCGATGATCATATCACATATGGCAGCAGACCAATTAAAGGACCAAAAAGCTTGTACATTTACAACAAAAGAAGATAGCTCTGCTGGCACATGAAAATTGTTTGAAGGAAAAAATAAATTAATTAGTATGAATTCCAAGTATAACTGCTCAAAAGGTGGGGTGGAAGCTCCTTCTGCAAAAAAGTTTGTCAGTTGGTTCTTTATTTGTCTGGCATCCACATTTGATAGGGGTCCTTTTTTCCATGAAACAGGCTCTCCTCTGTTCGGCATCCCTATCAACAGAGCCACATGGTCAGCATGTAACTTAACCTCCTTTCCACCCATTTTGAAGACACCGCTCTCATTATCCCAACATCTCAGAATATATAAAGTCATGACATTGTCCTGGGGATATGGGGGCATGTCAAAGAAATTGAACACCCTAATTTCCTTCAAATTATTAATGGTCTCCTCTGAAAGCAGATCTCGAATTGCATCCAAGGCACCTCTCACTATAGATGGACAACATCTATGTTGAAAGTCCTTGCACTCATGATCCTACAAATTAAAGAAATAATAACACATTATTAGAATAACAATCACAAGAATAGCACAGAAAATTGATGTGTTGCTCTAAATTAACAATCACCCTTAATAAAAGCGCTGCAAAAATACATAAATAAGACGGGAATAATACATGAGTAACACACCGGCATAACACAGTAATAACTATACACATAAGCATGGATAATACAGAAGCATAACTAATTACGCACCAGTAATACAGGAGTAGCACATGAAGCATACTTAATTAATAATTACCCTAAACACATCAATAATACATGAATAACACGGGAATAACACATGAGTAACACACCAGTAACGCAGTTAAAGCACAGTAGAGTAATACATGAATAATACAAGAATAACACATCAAACCTATGTCATTAATTAATAATCACCCTAAACACATCCCCTAAACACATCAATAAATACATGAATAACACGGAAATAACGCATGAGTAACACACCAGTAACACAGTTAAAACACAAGAAAATAATAAATGAATAATACACGAATAATATAAGAATAACACATCAAACCTATGTCATTAATTAACAATCACCCTAAACAGAAGCACATCACATCAATAATACATGAATAACATAGAAATAACGCATGAGTAACACACCAGTAACACAGTTAAATCACAGGAAAAAAATAGATGAATAAAGCACGAATAATACAATAATAACACATCAAAACTATGTCATGGAGATATCTGTGAGTCCACCGAATTTGGTTTTATGCAGTTATTGAGTAGGATTTTTTCTGTGTTAATGATTCAAATCCATGATGTGTTACTTGTGTGGTATTGTTATATTTTTTATGTATTACTGGTATATTACTAGTGTGTTATGCTATTGATGTGGTATTGTTGTGCTATTGTTGTGTTACTGATGTGTTACTTGTATTTCATTACTTTGGTGATTTAGGCGCATATCGTGATTTTAACGAACGACTGGACGCCATGGTGACCTTCGCTTACGCCGGAAGATGCGCTTCGCCGGAGGGTTTCGACGAGGAAGACTAAGCCCTAAACTCGTAATAGTGCGTAGAAAATGAAGTAGTTCAGAGAAAATGAAAAGGCAGGCGGGTTCGGGTTTTTGCTCGGGTCGGGTCGTGAATATGATTTAAAAAAATATTTATTTTAATTTTATTTGCTTGAATAAGTGGGGCCAGAGTTTACACATGGCGGCATTTTATTGGTTACGCACGTAGCTTAAGGTGCGCGTAGCTTAAGGTGCGTAGTACTGAGGGAATATTTTTTTCCAAAAACAGACATTTTAAGTTTAAAAATGAAACATCATTTTTAAAGGATTTCACATGTGTCTGGAGAGCATAAAGCACAATATTTAATTCCAATTACAGCTATCTAAATGAGGGAATCTAATAAATTGACCGTTTTATTAAAAGCATAAATGAACCCATACATTATTCAAAATAATCAGGTATTACTGCTAGGAAAAACGAGAATGAGTGGAACAACAATCGCACAAAACTATCTTCTTACGTAAATTAAAATCAATCCTTAGAACTTAACAAATAGCAGGGCAGTCGTTAAAACTTGCCAAGGACAAATTTTTTAACCATTTCCGCAGGAGTAAAATTTGATAGAGTGAAATCCTTAAATCCTCTGAATGTGTAACCAATAATTAAGCTGAAACAAAATTTATTAAAACAGCAAATTTAAGCTTCTCCTTGATTATATTTAAGCTAAACCTGCTTAAATCCCGCTTAACATAGGATATCAAACAGCCCCGATGAATAAGAAGAGACAAAAGTGATGAAACTGACGTCGGAGGGAGGATCTGCAGGGTTTGAGTTGCCCTCGCAGCGCGGTGTTAGCAGCCTGCGAGATTTCTCCAGGAAACGGAGACGAGCAGCGGAACGCCGGAAATGAGTGGTGGGGTGGAGAGGAGAGCTACGTTTGTAGAAGAGGCTGAAGGAGCCGGAAGCCATAGAAGCCATGAAGATTGTCACCATATCGCAACAATTGCTTTTTGCCGCTTAAGGTCTCTCTTTCTTCGGCTCCAAATGGGAAAGAGAAAACTTGGAGGGTTTTCTTTTTTTCCTCTATTTTTTATATTTGTAAGTATAATTTTTTTTATATAATTAGAAATACTATAATGTATAACTAGAAAAAAAATTATTATTTATATTTCCAAAAAACAATATTTATATTATTTAACATATTTTTTAAAAAATATCTATAATAGTTTTATAACAAATTTATAAAGTTCAGTTTCTCCCAAAATATTCTTAGATAGACATAAAGTATTTCGTTGAATAGTAGATAGACATAAAGCTCTAAATAAATTAGTATATTTTAGCTCAATACCTACTTAATAGTCATCACAATTGATTTTGGAGTTCAAGTAAGATGTTATAGATTGCTTCGTTTGATCCCGATTTGAGTATGAGTTTCCTTATTTTTAATTGCTTTTATATTATAGTATTTTCTTTTTCATAGATAACTCTCATCTTCATTATCAATGTTTGTGCCCCTTCTCAAAAATTAGAATAAATGCCCCAGTTTTGAAACATAGTAGAATGTTTGATCATCATATGACCATAATGTCGGTCGTTTTAATTTTCTGTTTTGGAAAAGAGATAATTTTTGTAAACATGAAGATAGTTATAAATATGTTATTTTGATTTTTGAAAGTAATACTTTTAATTTTTGAAAAGAGATGAGACCAAGCGAGTCTCACATATTGAATAGTTTGGATGACTAAGTGCAATACCACAAGTAACACACTTATCCTGAAGAATAAACATATCACGTATAGTAGGCTCAATCACCTAAACTAAAGAATTTGTCCTAATATAAGGATTAGATAAGGTTTATTTTACCTGGGTTCCAAGTTCCCTATAGAGGCAAGACCCTATAATTAATTACATCTCAAATAACTGGGATCACTTAAGAAAACTCGATTAAGATCAGTGGTTCTGCCTTTGAGATTTTAAAGTTTAGGTTTCCACTATTGGACATGGAAAAATCAAAAAGGAGTTGCTCAAACAGGAACAGTTATTTTAAGGAATCCAAAGGAATGAAGAGTAGGAGATATCACAGATCCGAGGAAAAGCCCGGTGACCTCCCAACTATCATATTGTTTTGCTTTATATCTTTAAAATGATGTTGTTGAATGTTTAATCCTACAATTATTTAGAATTTATGACTTATGTTCGCATGATATCTGATCGTGCAAATAGCCTAAAAAGATAGGAGGATTTACATTGTACCGTACAGTAACCTCAGAATCTTAAAGTGTTAAGACTTTAAAGTGTTAAGACAGTGTTAAGACTGATAATTGCGCAATAGGGTTATGCAAAAGCCTAAAAGTGATATGTGAGGATTTACGCTATGCTAGGCAAACCACCTCGAAATACTATGGGTTGTTATTTAAACTAATAAAAGTGTTTAGTGATATTAATTTGTTTTGACGTTGCTCTTCTGAAATGAATGTCCTCGTCATGCTGCCCACGATGTTCGCTCCAATAAAGTTTAGGTTTCCACTATTGGACATGGAAAAATCAAAAAGGAGTTGCTCAAACAGGAACAGTTATTTTAAGGAATCCAAAGGAATGAAGAGTAGGAGATATCACAGATCCGAGGAAAAGCCCGGTGACCTCCCAACTATCATATTGTTTTGCTTTATATCTTTGAAATGATGTTGTTGAATGTTTAATCCTGCAATTATTTAGAATTTAGAACTTATGTTCGCATGATATCTGATCGTGTAAATAGCCTAAAAAGATAGGAGGATTTACATTGTAGTAGGAGGATTTACATTGTATCGTACAGTAACCTCAGAATCTTAAAGTGTTAAGACTTATAATTGCACAACAGGATTGTGCTAAGGCCTAAAAGTGATATGTGAAGGTTTATGCTGCGCTAGGCAAACCTTCTCGAAATCTTATGGGTTGCTAAAAGTGTTTAGTGATATTAATTTGTTTTGACGTTGCTCTTCTGAATGTCCTCGTCATTCTACCCACGATGTTCGCTCCAAGATCCTCATCGTAGCACCTTCGGGTTTGATATTAGTTTTAAGGGTACATGTAATCATTTAGTTTTCCTACACTAAGGTATAGTGTATAATAGAACAATAAATCATGCAGTATAAAAGAAAAGAACAGTAGAATATACGGTAAAGAAGAAGAATAATACAATATGTTGTGAAGTAAAATGTTGTAATATAAATCCAACATGTATATCTGGGAGGCCTGCAGCTCCTTTAAACGAGGTAGTATACACTTTATAAATAAAAGAAATATTGCCTGGAAAACTCAAAAAATTTGACAAATGACCCACGACGGAAAACTCATGAAAAATTGACAAATGACAATTCCAAGAAAATTATCAAAATCTCGGGAAGATCCCGGAAAAAAGGACCGCTAGTGCTTTGCCCAAAAATTCCAATAAAACATATGAAAGATCCAAAAAGAGGGGACCACAAGCACTCGGGTCGGGGCTAGGCTCAGATATTATATATTTGTACTCAAGGGATGTCGAAGGCTACTATCGGTCACCCGGATGTATAGAGCCTGTCACTCAACTATAAGGGTGTCTAACTAAACCTAACTTAGGAGGGTACTCCTTAGCCCAATATCAGTAATCAACAAGTGGACAACCAAGTTGTAACATATTTAAAATTTATATTTTAGCATGCACATGGATTTCTGGCATACAAAAAAAAGTTGTATCAATTTTGTAGTGAAAATGTTTTTATAAATATTATATATGTTCTTATCATGTCTGTTCTTATCAATTTTGAAAAAGTATAGTTGTCTATGAGTCGATTACGTCGTCGGGTGTAGGACTGCCAACAATCTAAGAAGGTACGGGTCCCCCGCTAGTCTTGTGTCGGTAAATGATAATGTCATCCTACAGTTTATCAGATCCCAGGATTGGGTCCTGATATCGTTGGATGGAATATCATTCTGCCCTAACTTTGGCGTGCCTTTGTCATCATCGCCCTGAGCCACAAAACAAAATCGACCTACTTGTGATCTAGCTTGATGGTTTCATATATAGCAAAAGGCTATATATAGGCACTTATGTGTCAGACATAAGCACATAAAACTGAACGAAGAAGCAAGGAAAAAAAGAATAAAAATGGGGATGAGAGAGAGGAGGGACTGATTCACAGAAAAGATCGAAAGGATGAAGGGTGAAGCAACCCTGAAAACTGTGACAAAAAGATATGAAAAAAGAGCCTAAGATCCTTGAATCAATCCAAGAAGAATATCATTTTCTCAACTTTTATAAATGGATCAACCCACGAAGGGTATCCTTTCCAAATCTTGTTTCGAACAAGTTGAAACGGGCCCAAAACTAATGTGATAACTATGCCCACAGCTCTACTTGCTATATGTACTCACACACCTAAGCCTGAACCCAAGTGTAGCATTTATGTTATCCAAGTTTTATTGTCAAACCTCCAAAATCTTTTCCAACTAACAATTTTATG